TGGGGATGGAGAAGAGGATGTGGGTGGAGAAGAGGGTGAGGATCTGGAAGGGCATGGGGATGGAGAAAAGAATGAGGTTCTGGAAGGGGATGGGGTTGGAGAATAGGATGGGGATGGGGATGGAGAGTAGGAAGAGGATCTGGAAGGGAATGGGGATGAGGATGGAGAAGAGGATGTGGGTGGGCAAAGGTATGTGGATGGAGAAGTGGATGAGGATCGAAAAGAGAATGGGAGGGGTCCCCCTTTGTCCCTCCCCCTTGGGGTGCCCAGGGTTCCCATCCCACCCTCATCTCTGCAGCCTCAGGCCGGCCGTGCCCCCCGTGCCCATGAGGGTGCCCGTGCACAGCGTGTCCGTCACCAAGGAGAAGAGTCACATCCTGGTGGGGCTGGAGGATGGAAAACTCATCGTGGTGGGCGCTGGGCAGCCCGCTGAGGTGAGCGGGACCCCACAGGGGGGTGGGAGGAGGGGTCCCAGTGTCCATGGGGTGCTCCTGGGCTGGGGACCTCAACGTGGCCTCTCCAGAGCTGAGGGGGACCGGGGTGGGGAGGGGAAGGAGATGTGGGATAGGAATAGGGATGGAGAGGGGTGGGGATGAGATGGAGAGGGAAGCTGGGAAGGGAATGAAGATGGGAACGGGGGTGAAGATGGAGGTGGAGGTGGAATGGAGATGAAGGTGGAGGTGGGGAAGGGGACGTGGACATGGAGATGGGGATAGAGGTGGGGATGGGAAAGAGGATGGAGGTGAAGGAGGAGATGGAGACAGGGAAAGGGATGATGATGGAGTTGAAGGTGGAGATGGAGGTAGACACGGAGGTGGAGATGGAGATAGGGAAGGGAAAAGAGATGGAGATGGAAAGTGGAGATAGGGAAGGGGATGGAGATGAATAAGAAAGGGGATGGAAGTGGAGATGGAGAACAAGGAAGGGGATGGAGATGGAGATGGAGATAGGGAAGGGGTGATGGGTGGATGGCGATGAGAGGGTTGGGAAAGGGATGCAGGTGTGGAAGGGGAAGGGGACAGTGATGGGAGAAGGGATGGGGGTTTGGAAGGGGAAGGGGGTGAGTGTGTGTGGAGCAAAGGATGGGTTTGGAAGGGGATGGGCTGGGGAAGGGGCTGGGAGTGGTGGGTGTTCGGAACAGGATGGGGATGGAGGAGTTGATGAGGATGGGGTTGGATAAAGAGACATTTGGGAGGGGATGGGGATGGAGTGGGGGGTGAGAATGGGGTTGGATAAAGGATTTTGGGAAGGTGATGGGGAATGAGGAAGGGGATAGAGAAGCAGATAGGCATTTGGGAGGTGATGAGGATGGAGAAGGGGATGAGCACCTGGAAGAGAATGGGGATGGAGAAGGGGATGGGAATGAGGATGGAGAACAGGATGAGGATGGAGATGAAGAAGAGGATGGGGATGGAGAATTGGATGATGACTTGGAAGGGGGTGGGGACAAAGAAGGGGATGAGGATGAGGATGGATGAAGGATTTAGGGATGGGGAAGGGGTCAGAGCACGGGGTGGGCTCTCACCCCCAAATCCCCAGGTGCGTCCGGGCCAGTTCCACCGGCGGCTGTGGCGTTCCACGCGGCGCATCTCCCAGGTGTCGGCTGGAGAGACGGAATACAACCCCTCCGAGGGCCGGGCCTAGGCTGGGATTAACCTCTCTGGGAACCAGGCCTAGGCTGGGATTAAACCCCTCCAAGGGCCGGGCCTAGGCTGGGATTAACCTCTCTGGGAACCAGGCCTAGGCTGGGATTAAACCCCTCCAAGGGCCGGACCTAGGCTGGGATTAACCCCTCTGGGAACCGGGCCTAGAGTGGGATAAACCCCTCCAAGGGCCGAGCCTAGAATGGGATAAACCCCCCCAAGGGGCCCCATGCCCCCAGCACAGAGAGGGGGCACCCCTTGGACCAAGGGGGTGTCGAGGGGCTGAGGGGGGTCCCCTGGGCCCGAGGGGGTCCAGACCCCCCCACTCCGCCCGCCATCCGTGGCCTTATCCCTCCCCGGTGGGGTATCCAGCCCCCCCAGTTTTTTGGGAATGTATCCCTCCCTTCCCAGGCAGGGTCAGGGGGGGCAGGAGGAGGTGGGGACCCCTCTCTGGGCAGGGGGTGCCGTGGCCCCCCCGCCGTGCCCGCTGGCCAGGAGCCGCTCAGAGTGCGCGCGTGTGTCCCTCCCACCCCCCCTTATTTTTTATTTCTATGCGTTTTTAGATCTTTTACAGACAAAGATTATTATTAATATTGATAATTATAATAATATATCTGTGGGAAGTCGGCGTGTGAGGCCTGTGGCTGCCCCGGGATGGGGTGTTCTGCACAGGGGGGTGTCCCAGCACGGGCTGTGTCAGGTGGGGGGTCAGGAGGACTTGGGGACACTCATGTCGTGAGTGTGGGGGGTCTCAGCAACCCTGTACCCACGTGTCACGAGTGGGGAGAGGCTCAGTAGCTCTACACACACGTGTCGTGAGTTGGGGGGGTTCTCAGCAGTTATGCACCCACATGTCACGAGTTGGGGGGGTCTCAGCAGCTGTGAATCCACGTGTCACGAGCGCATGGGGTCTCA